TCTCAATTATCTAGACAACTACCTAAACAAAGAGTACCAACTATTATGGTCATGTCTTCAATTTCAATGTAATAAGGAGTCTGCAGCAATCCTTGACAAATTCAACCACTGCCATGTTGCTAGGGTAGGAGAAACTTGTGCAATCTTATCACAATTTTGTATTAAGGGATTATCATCTACCTATCCTGTAAAGTGGCAAGGGCTTGGGGCAACGCCCCCAAAACCTAAACGATTTCCGAAATAGGTTTTTTTCCTTTTGCAAAATCAATTTTTTGTAGTGAAAACTATTTTTTCGTAGGAAATTTCATACAAAAAATAACAGCAATAATACATGGCCCTATGCTTCCATGAGGGAGTTCACATACTACCATTAATATTACAACACAAATAAACCATCGTGTAAAGCTTTCTAATTATATTAACCATGAACAAACCATCGTGGGATCAAATACATAAAACGATAAAAAAAATTGTGTGATCACAATAGAGGGACAAGAATGCTACAAAACAAAGATTAACACAACTATACGTTCTACCCATCAATCATGATATACATTTAATCGTTTTACTTGGACAACATGGTTGTATTTAATATGTACCCTGTATCAATGACGGCTCTGATACCACTTGTTGGAACGGTAGTCCCAAGATCAGTTGACGGTGCATATAATTGATTATAAAAATTTATTTGTTTGTTAACCTTACAAGGCAAAATTAGGAGTTACCTCTTGAAGCGTGAACAGTACAAACAAAAACTGATACAGATCGAACAATAGGCTCAATAAACCTCACGATCTTTTACTGTATATCATTACATGCAAAAAATTAGAATTTTGTGTGGGATACAATCCTCCAAATTCTCTCTCTTGCTCTCTCTCTACCTTTTCTAAACTTGAAGGTAAAGTTTATAGCTGAGAGAGGAAGTGCATTTATTTATAAGCTAAGTAGAGACCTTAAGGAGAAATAAAGGTCGGGTTTCCAATGGGTCTAGGAATCCTATGTCCAACTCAGAACAAACATCATATGGTCCATTAATAATAAGTTAATCCATCAAAAAATTATTATTAATTTCATAAACTTTATCTCAAAATTAAATTTCGAGTTCCTTATTATTATATGCTTAATAATCTCTCCACGTTTAAAATTCCAGATGTTCGTCAATTAATTATATTACTAAAGATTATATTTAATTGACTTTTTTTTATCCTTAAGATCTTACCACTTAAATTATTTATCATGTCGGATAATTAAATTCATCTACAGTTTAACATGGACAAAACTTATGAGCTTCCTCAAAAGGACATCATCAACTCATTTAAATACTGGGGCGTGGTTTTTTTTAATAATTAATTTTCACTATACAAATAATTTTATCTCTCAATTCACTGAATTTGTTGACTCAAATATGAATTTCACTCTTTTATTAATTAAAGTAACAATCATTATATGCACGTGTCAATTAAATATTTCATAATTAAGAGTTTAAACAATCATAATAACTATGAAGCAATATTTATTTTCTCATTTAGTCAGTAAAAAGAAAATAACCTCAATAATGACTTTATCCAATACACAAAGCGTACTAGTATAACAATTCGAGACATCAAACAGTCTCCTATAGCTAAGACAGACTATGCCAGAAGATTGCACTACAATTCTACTGATAATGTGTCCAATCTATCTAAGACTGTGAATTTTTACTTATATCATACAAGAATCTGATAATTTGATCTTCTGTGTACAAGCCAAACTTTACATACCAAATTATTTACAATGTAAAATAAAAGACACAAGCATATCATATATTTAATATAATTCAAATATGTTACCCTCACAGATTCTCATTGAAATAGGAAATAAAGAACATTTATTAAATAATAAACTGAGTTTCACTACAAAAAACAAGCCCTTAAATTTTCTTGGGCCTTGACAGGCCATTTGGCCGGGCTAGGTCAACCTTCCTAGTTGAGACTGGCCGAAGATAAGGCTCATGGCTTGCCTAGAGGAAAGGGTAGTTTGCCCATTAACTATTAGATCAACGAGGTTTTTGTTTAGCCTTTGGGCCGTTTGCTGACCCTTGCCGAATACGTCAATATAGTTTGTGACATTATGTTTAAGCTAATCATGTTAGTAGTATTCTCTAAGTCCAATCGTATAGATACTGTTTTGGGTTGTATTAGCAATATTTATTACTTAATTAAATAAAATGACAAGTTTATTTATCATATTTATATTTTATTTCATTTTAATATACATGATATAGTCCATGGAGTATAAGTTAAGAAAATTATTTATCAAGGAGTTGAGAAGAGAAGACATATATTTCATAGTATATAACTCTTAAAGGTTCCTAGTCGTAGGATTACTATGTGAGCACTATGTAATCCAGATAGACTAATATATATTATGTTTATTTATATTTAATATAAGGTGACTCATCCAAGTCACTAGTGTATGGGCATTGAAGTAGGTGTGTGAGTGCTTATTAGAGAACAAGTATACTGAACGTGACCATTGACTAGCGTAGAATTTTTCATATGGAGTTTTCATACTTGTTAATATTAAATCCTAAAGTTATAGTTATGAAATTGATCCTTAGACTTGAAACACCATGATTGTCTTATGCATGGACTTTTATGCTTTAACTATACAACATATTCATATACTAACCATGTAATTTGGATATGTATTGTTGGACATAGTTAGACATACATGAAAACTTATGAGTGTACAATATGAAATCTATCACCCTTAGTAAATAAATGGAGTATGTCCTATGTGGTCTTCTGGGATATGACTCAACAAGTCCTTTTAATTGATTATTAAAAGTCATAGTCCTAAGATCGAACATATAAGATTGAGTTAGGGATTTGAAAGTAATTTCATACCCTAATAATTCAATTGGGGCATTTTGTGATAGAAGAATTGAATTGCATGACAACTATAGACTGAATGAGTTATTTACCTACTCCATTCATGATATGTTGCTAGGTGTCACTCATAATTAGTAGAAACCCAAAGAACGACATTAATATAAATATATTACTTGTTCTTCATAAAGGGAGAATTAGAAGAGTTCTAACAAACTAAATTAGAAAGAATTCTAATTTGAGATGTTACTTGTAGTTAGTATCAAATGCCTACAACTGTGTATGCTTGAACATATAGGGTCACACACAATAGAATTGATTGGAAACTAAAGGATAAAGAAGAGACAACCAATTAAGAGTTAATTGGGGGTAAAAAAAATTAATTAAAAGTTAATTAGGGACTTTATTGTAATTAATAATTTATAAAGGAGTTATATGTAATTATGGAATCATTGCAACTTGACCCAAACTAGGAGTAGAGTCTTTTAAAGCTCTATAAATACCTTCATGCATGAGGTGGATATATGATATAACAACTCTCTCCCTTTACTAGTTTATCAATTATTGAGGTAAATCTTTCAAGTTTATTAATTCGTGTGAATACCGATAAAAGCCAAAAATTTGCAAGATTTTAGGTAAAGATTAAATTCATATTTGAATATTCAAAGTTTTTGAAAATGCTTGAAGATTGTTAAAAATACGCTTCAAGAGATAACCTTTAATTTTTCCTATGGATCTAAATTTTCTCAGTTTGTATTAAACATGAATAAATCTTGGCATGAAGAATCAATTGTTTTTTAAAATTTCGCTATGTTTATTATATGATTCTTTTCAAATCAGATTGATGAAGTAATTATAGATATCTTAATCAGGGTAAATATATCCCTTGTAAAAAAATCTAAATAAAAAATTTTATTTACCAATATATATTGCCTTAATAAAAAATATAGAGATAGCATCAGATATGCTGTTGAACTAGATGATGAAAATATGCCAATTTTTTATGAAAGAATTGTAAGAGCAAAACGGGATGGGATTAACATTTTCATCTTCACTATAATCAAACATTTTGTAGGAACACCTAGTAACATAGAAGCAAGAATCCGTTATCAGCTAAGTAATTTAAGATGCCAAACACTTACTGATTTTAGATGATATAAATACGTATTCATCTCACGGGTAATGATCAAACCAGATTGCAATAAATCTTTCTAGAAAGAAAATTTTATTAATAGCTTACCTAATCCTTTTGCTCACAAGATTAGAGAAGCATTAGGTAAATCAACAGGAATCATTGAATATGATCAGCTAACACACTACAACAAAAATCTTTTATTGCGACGATTTTCTTTGTCGCTAAATTAAAAAAAAATCGTCGCCATTTATTTTTTGCGACTTTTTTTTTTCGTTGTGTGTTCGTTGCAATAGCCTCGTCATAGAAAGTATTTTGCGACGCAATTTTATTTTCTCTGCAAAAAAAAAAAATTGCTACAGAACAAAAACCGTTGCTAAAATTTTAAAAAAAAAAAGCGAAGCTAAAATCTATTCCACCAGTGGAAAAAAAATAATAATTTAATTAATTTTTCATGACACAAAAAAATCGTAGCAAATAAATTTTTACATAAATAAAAAAAATAAAAAAATAATAATTTAATTAATTTTTCGCAATGTAAAAAATTTGCTGCAAATAATTTTTTACATAAATAAAAAATATAAAAAATAATTGAATAAATACATTTGCGATGTATAAAAACCCTCGCTAAAAAGATTGTTCCTACAATTTTTAGCTACAATTTTAATTTTGTCCCAAAAAATTTCATTTTTTTTAAAATAACCCTTCATAAAAAATAGTATTCCAATAAAATTTTTCACCAGTACACTGTTAATACTTGTGTTCAATAAAAAAAACTAACACAATTAATACATTTCACATCTTTTCCATTAAACAACCAACACAAACTTACATCAAATACCATACTAACAAAAACATAAAGTATAATACACTTAATAACAGTTATAAAAATCGTCAAAATATCTAACAACGTAATTTACATACAAGTTTCCCAAAATATTTTAATACATAACCAAAAGTGACCACTAGCAAATCAATGTCTTCTTTTCCCATCCAACTTACTGAAATGCACACAAAGCACCATGAAACATAGAAGAATTTTTGGTTCTAACTGCCTGATTAGCCAAGCCATCCGCAACCCCATTCGCTTCCCTATAAACTTGCCTAATTTGAAAATCAACACCCCTCAACAACTCCTTAATTTGGCTAAGTGAAGACAAATAAGGCCATGCACAGGAGCATTTAACCAACAACATATTAACAAGTATCAAAGAATCACAATCAATTTGAAACTTCTGGGATCAAACATATATTCAATCCTTGACCAGATCTAGAGTGGTTACATGGAGTATATACGCAAGGCTCTTGCCATACTTCTCGAGGCACTCAATTATGCTTTTACCTCTTCTTTCTTTCTGCCTTTTCTTGTATCCGAAGTGCCTTCTTGTTGTTGCTTAGTCTTTGTCTGAGCTCGAATCATAGCTCGCCTCACGCGGGGACGCATTCCTCTTACTTGTCGTGGAGGCATCACAGCTAGTTCGATGGTCNTAAAATTTTAAAAAAAAAAAGCGAAGCTAAAATCTATTCCACCAGTGGAAAAAAAATAATAATTTAATTAATTTTTCATGACACAAAAAAATCGTAGCAAATAAATTTTTACATAAATAAAAAAAATAAAAAAATAATAATTTAATTAATTTTTCGCAATGTAAAAAATTTGCTGCAAATAATTTTTTACATAAATAAAAAATATAAAAAATAATTGAATAAATACATTTGCGATGTATAAAAACCCTCGCTAAAAAGATTGTTCCTACAATTTTTAGCTACAATTTTAATTTTGTCCCAAAAAATTTCATTTTTTTTAAAATAACCCTTCATAAAAAATAGTATTCCAATAAAATTTTTCACCAGTACACTGTTAATACTTGTGTTCAATAAAAAAAACTAACACAATTAATACATTTCACATCTTTTCCATTAAACAACCAACACAAACTTACATCAAATACCATACTAACAAAAACATAAAGTATAATACACTTAATAACAGTTATAAAAATCGTCAAAATATCTAACAACGTAATTTACATACAAGTTTCCCAAAATATTTTAATACATAACCAAAAGTGACCACTAGCAAATCAATGTCTTCTTTTCCCATCCAACTTACTGAAATGCACACAAAGCACCATGAAACATAGAAGAATTTTTGGTTCTAACTGCCTGATTAGCCAAGCCATCCGCAACCCCATTCGCTTCCCTATAAACTTGCCTAATTTGAAAATCAACACCCCTCAACAACTCCTTAATTTGGCTAAGTGAAGACAAATAAGGCCATGCACAGGAGCATTTAACCAACAACATATTAACAAGTATCAAAGAATCACAATCAATTTGAAACTTCTGGGATCAAACATATATTCAATCCTTGACCAGATCTAGAGTGGTTACATGGAGTATATACGCAAGGCTCTTGCCATACTTCTCGAGGCACTCAATTATGCTTTTACCTCTTCTTTCTTTCTGCCTTTTCTTGTATCCGAAGTGCCTTCTTGTTGTTGCTTAGTCTTTGTCTGAGCTCGAATCATAGCTCGCCTCACGCGGGGACGCATTCCTCTTACTTGTCGTGGAGGCATCACAGCTAGTTCGATGGTCCTATCACTAAAGGGGTGCTCATTGCCAGCAAATATCCTCAGTTTTCGATCTCTATCCTGCATACCAAAGAAGCAGCAATGTTAAAAGTACAGAAACACAGGTAGCCTCCAGGATAAATTATCTAATCATATCTTTCAAGCTCGTTAACCAACAAACTGCTTTGAATCCACCATATCTTACCAATATAAAAAGATCAAACAAGCAAGCTTTAGTGATTTATGAAACATTAACTCCGCTCAATAGACCTCCCTCGATTACTCTCCAACAACACAACTTGCTTGTAAACCATCATCCATACAATACCCTCAACCTGTCTCTAGCAACCACCTTGATATGTTGAACAGGTGATCCCACTTTTCATGTCCCGAAAGAATTACAGTCATTTGGCACTGGTGGGTAATGAAAAAGCAGTTTACACTTCTCTTCCAGAGGAACCCAAGTGTCTTAGATAGGAAATTGCATGACCAGCACAACATAGATGGTCAACGAAGGTATAATACCGATGGTGAGATTGAGCTTCATGACTATGTGTTAGAGTATGTGTGGCTCATATTTGATGTGTGCATAATGGCAAGGAGGTAGATGCCGGAGCGGGCGGAGTGGAGCGGAGCCCACGACGGCATCTGCCTTGCGGGATTTAAATAAAGGGGACGCTGATTAGTTGGGGGTGCGGGGGCAACGCCTCCGCGGTACGGTACAGGAGTATTTTTGTAAATACGTCCATATTAGGGTTATATAAATACTTAAGATGTAACCCTATTCTATAATGGAAAAGAACGCCCGCTCGCTCTCGTGGATGTAGGCACTTTGCCGAACCACGTAAATCTCTGTGTGTTATTTTCTCCTGCTTTCTTAATTGTTTGATTCCTTACTATTCATCATAATTGCTGCACGATCACAACACTATGAAAGTGAAGAGCACACCCAGAATAAAGCTCAGAGGACTTCAAGTCTTCGATTGTGTGTGTGTGTGAGAGAGAGAGAGAGAGATGACTGAGCGACAGTCACCTCGTCGGAGTCAAGGAGAAGCAGACAACAAAGATAAAAATGAAAAGAAATTTGGGCAAAAATGCCCTAGAGAGAATGAGAAAGGTTTTTTTTTTAAGCCCAAAACGACTTTGTTTTGAATTTTTTTAAAATTATATTCTGCGACGACCATAAAAACGTCACAATTTAATATTTTGATTTTAGTTTAACTTTAAATGTGATTGTAATTTATATTCTGCAACGAAAAAAAAATATCACAATAAATTTCGATAATATTTTTTGTGATGTAAATAACAAAATGTCGTAATTTAATATTTTTGTTTTTTTAACTTTAAATGTAGTTGTAATTTATATTCAACGACGAAAATAAAAACGTCGCTAATTAATTTTTTCTTTTCTTTTATTTTAATTTTTGATTATTTTTTTTTGCGACAAAAAAAATTTGTCATAAAAAATATTTCATTTCCCGCCATTGCCCTAGCCTAATAGTAGAGAGGGTATCACAATTTTTGCGACGAAATTAAAAAAGGTTGCGAAAAAAATTACTATAATAAATTTATTCTTGTAGTGTTCGACAAATATAAAAATGTCGCAAAATAATAATATTTATTTAATAAAAACTAAATATATATTCTGCGACACACTTAGAAAAACGTCGCTAAAAATATTTTATTTTAATTTTACTTTAATTCTAATTTACAAAAATAAAATTCTAATTTTGCGACGAAAAATTTAACGTCACCATAAAAATTCATAGAATATTTATTGCGATGAAAATAAAAAATGTCGCAAATTAATATTTTTATTTTATTTTTAATTTAATTTTGATTTACAAAAATAAAATTTATATTATACTACAAAAAATTATAATTTTTTTTTTTACGATGCAAAAAAAAAAATGTCGCGAATTAATATTTTGACTTTATTTTTATTTTTATTTTTGATTATTTATTTTTCTACGATTTAATACTATCTGCGACAAACAATATTCGTCGTAAAAAATTGTCATTTCCCAGCATTACTCGCGCCCAAAAAAATTGGGAGGAAGTCGCCATTTCGCGACGCACTTGGAAAAAGGTTGCAAAAAAATATCAAAAATAGAAATTTTCCACAAAATTATAAAGTCATTGTTAATAGCACACTTTATGCGACGAATTAATAAACATCGCAAAAAAAAAACATGGCAAATTAATATTTTGACTTTATTTTTATTTTAATGTTTGATTATTTATTTTTGCGACGATGTAATACTATTTCCAACAAAAAATATTTATTGTAAAAAATTGTCATTTCCTGCCATAACTCGCGGCAAAAAAATTTGGGAGGAAGTTGCCATTTTGCGACGTACTTGCAAAAAAAGTTGCAAAAAAATTACCAAAATAAAAATTTGCGACAAAATTATAAAATCATCGCAAATAGTATACTTTTTGCGACGAATTAAAAAATGTCTCAAAAAATATTTTTTCTTGTAGTGACATATGGTGATCTTATCAGTACTATTCAAAAAGAAGGTATGATAGTGTATATTGATATGAAAATTAGTAAAAAAATGAAAAATGATAAGAAAAAAGTCAAATATGAAATGGGTGATTTTTGTGAACAATATCCCTTCAATAACACTATCTCGCAGAAAAAACAAATCACAAAAACCTTATAGCAGGAGTAAACATTACTACAAAATAAGCAAAAAGAATTTTCCAAAGCAAGAGTATTATGGAAAATCAAGCAAAAAACATAAGAAATCTTATAAGCACAAACCTTATAAGAAAAAGTTAGGAAAGAAAGATAGTAAAGAAATTGAATGTTATAACTGTGGCAATAAGGGACATATCAGCGCAGAATATCCAGTTAAGAAGAAACTAAAACAACTAAAATTAAAAAAAGAAAATAAGAAGAAATTCTCAACATCTTTAAGATAAGTAATCTTAGCCAAAATGAAGAAAGAACAGAAGATTCAAGGAATTCTGAAAGTTCTTTAGATTATCCGTCATAATCTAGCAACTCTAGTGAACCTGATATTAAATTAGGTTATAAAGATAATTGTTGTAAAACAATTAGAGTTTTAACCAAGCAAGCAGAGGAAGAACATATCCTCATTGATCTTATTAGCAAAATTGAAAATCTGGAGTTAAAAGTAAAATACATTAAGAGCTAAAAGACTTGTTTGTCAAAAAAAGACATTAAGAAATCTTTTGGTGAAAAATAGCTAATTAGTTTTAGCAAGACAATGGAGAAATTTAGTAAGGATAAAAAGAAAGAAGTAACCTTACAAGATCTTCAAGCTGAAGTTAATAAGCTAAAACAAGAAATAAAAGATTTAAAAGCACAAGATAAGAAATTGGAAGAAGCTTTAAATCTTTTACAAACACAAAATAAGTGTAGCAAAACAAAGGTCTCTAATCTTGAAAATGAAGAAATCAACTTAGAAAACCCACATAGTCCAACCAGAACATGTTCTCAGCAGATACCCATAACCTCCACCTCTCCAGTGGATCCCTTAGGTGTAACGAAGTTGCCTTTTAACGAAGGATGTTCGCAAACTAGTGATAATGATAATAAGTTAAACTTAATTAACAAGTTAAACCTTCAAAAATGGTATTCTAAAGTTAAAATCATAATCAACAATAATTATGAAATTGATGTTGTAGCCCTTATAGATACAGGTGCAGATCTGAACTACATCGAAGAAAAATTTATGCCAACCAAGTATTACCATAAGACAATTGAAAAACTCAGTTCAGCAAAAAGTAGTAAAATGAGAGTAAAATACAAATTACCAAATGTGCATATTTATCAAGACAATGTATGCGTCAAAATATCATTTGTTTTAGTATAAAATATGTCAAATAAAGTTATCCTTAGTGTACCGTTTATAAACCTGTTGTATCTGTTTACAACAGATGTAGATGGAGTAACCACCAAGTCTTTTGGCCAATCAGTAACATTTAAATTTTTGACAAAACCTCAAGTTAAAAAATTAAGGCAACTGAAAGATTATACAATCTCCAAGTCCCTTAATTTAATAACTCAGAAAAGTGCCCAAGTAAAATTTCTTAAAGAAGAAATTCATTATAAAAGAATTCAAGAACAATTAGCAAAACCAATCTTAATTTAAAAAATTGAAGAGTTTAAAGCAAAACTAGAATCTGAACTCCGTTCTAATCTACCTATAGATTTTTGGCATAGGAAAAAACACATGATAAGACTTCCTTATATCAAAGGATTTAATGAACAAAATATTTCAACTAAATCAAGACCTATCCAAATGAACCATGAAGTAATGAAAATTTGTAAAAAAGAAATTTTTGAAATACTCAAAAATGGTATCATTTGGAAAAGTAAATCCCCTTGGTCATGTCCAGCTTTCTATGTTGTTAAATATACAGAATTAGAAAGAGGAGTTCCAATGTTAGTAATTAACTACAAACCTTAAAATTCTATATTTAAATGGATCAGGTATCCAATTCTAAACAAAGAGGATTTAATTAAAAAACTTAGTAGCTCAACAATATTTTAAAATTAGATTTGAAAAGTGGCTTCTGGCATATTCAAATAGCCCAAGAAGACAGATATAAAACTACATTTATAACTCATTTTGGACATTACAAATGGAATGTAATGCCTTTGGATTAAAAAATGCACCTAGTTAATTTCAAAATATAATGAATGAAATTTTTAACCCAGTTAGTCATTTCTCTATAGTCTACATAGATGATATCTTCATCTTTTCCAGATCAATAGAAGAATATTGGAAACATCTTAATACATTCTTAGAGATAGTTAGACACAATGGTCTAGTCATCTCTTCTAGCAAAATTAAGTTGTTTCAAATTACTGTTAGATTCCTTACATACAACATCCAACAGTCAACTATCGTTCCTATCAGCAGATCTATCCAATTTGTAGATAAGTTATCTGATGAGATTACAAATAAAATCCAATTACAAAGATTCTTAGGGTCTTTAAACTATGTTTCAGACTTCTATCAGGATCTTAGAAAAATAATCACACCATTGTATGATAGGCTCAAAGGAAACCCTACTCCTTGGTCTTTAGTTCATACATCCATAGTTCAACAAGTAAAAAAATATATCAAGACTTTGCCTTGTCTTAGTATTCCTTCAGCAAACTCATTCAAAATTATTCAAACTGATACCTCCAACATTGGCTACAGTGGTATCCTCCTACAAAGAGTCAGTCCAGACTCTCCAGAGCAAATTATTTGTTTCCACTCTAGTATCTAGAACAAAGTACAAGCAAATTATAGTATTATTAAATAAGAAATTTTATCTATTGTCCTGTGTATCTTGAAATTTCAGGATGATATATTAAATCAAAAGTTTTTATTAAGAGTTGATTGTAAATCAACAAAATATGTTTTGAAAAAAGACATACAAAACATTGCTAGTAATCAAATTTTTGCCAGATGACAATCTATTTTAATTATTTTTGATTTTGATATTAAATATATTAAAGGCAGTAATAACTGCATCCTTGATTTCCTAACCCGTGAATTTCTGCAGGAATCTCATGGCAGACAAGAAAACTAGCAAACCCAATACTTCTTCCAAAAAACCCGGGAAGGATACTGGCAAACAATTAACTTTACCTAGCTCAAACCCAAAGCCCAACCAATTACCAACAATTGAAATAGCAAACCGTTACCAACCCGTTGGTAACCCAGTCAAACCAACCTACCAGTCTTTCCTAGTAAATCCAGGAACATTCCTTTACCAAGTACAACAACAAAGCCCATCTAGCCCATATATGGCCCAACCCATTTCCTTAGTAAAGCCTAACCAGATAGTTAATCTATACCAAAAACAGTCAACCTTCAAAAATCCCGGGAAGACAAAATATATTAAAAAGGCACCAGCCCATAATATATTCGATATTGAATCTGTCCATGCTCATTTAAGCAACTCAATTGACCTAGTCAATGCTTATCTTGAACCAGGATAAACCTTTATCCCGATTGATCCTGAAAAAACTTTCACATTTTACCAAAATATCTTATTCTTTACCTAGTCAATCTTTATCAAACCTATTACTGATAGAGATGAGCCTACTAAGGTTATTTACACTCACTCTTAGTTCTTGCAATTTAGCAAAGATTTTAAAAGCTAGATTCCTACCTGGATTTTACAGTGGTGGCAAATTCACGGCCCCATGATTGAAATCTTACCGCTTGATCTTCAAGATCAGGTAACCTACTTCTCACCTACTTATAAAGTTAGTAAACATGAGAGTCAGTTTCCTGTATTATTGATATTTATTAGTAAATATAAAGTCTCATGGATATGTAATTGAAAATGGGAAATTATATCAAATCATGTTGCCTTGTAGTTCTATGTCAAGTGGTGGCCAAGGTTCCAGCATTAACATATTATTGCCAAAGTACAGAAAAAATTTTCAATTAAAGTTCCTAAGCCAGTAATGGTTACCGAGACAATAGCTACTACTCCAACAACACCAGCCAAACAGTTTATGTCAGCCCTTCGGACCTCTACCCCAAAAGCTCAGGCATAACCATCAGCCCTGCCATTAGGAAAGCAGAAAAAAATCTCTTCTAAGGATTCTAGTAAGTAACCAAAGAAGAAGTCATTTGAGTTAATAGAATTAGCACAGAACCTTTTCCAACAAGTAGTTAGTTAGAGCAGTTGGTCTGCATCTTCACAAGAATCAGTCAGCCCATCAATGGATCCCTTCCAAGATGCCCAAGATCTTTATGATGGTTATGGCATAACTAGCCCGTGATTCTTATCTCTATGTGTGATAGCGTCACTCACTACTTTCCTCATTTAAAGAAAGAAAAACTGTCTATTACACATTCCAATAGAATCATTCAGCAACAAGGCTCCTTTCCACTAGCAAAGTAGCTAACAGTCAGCAATCAGTCTACTTTTCTACCGAAAGCAGATTTCTGGTCAACAACAGGGACCCAACAGTCCTTAAAGTCAGCATTCACCAGAGTAAAAGTGATTCACTCCAACTTTTCCACCGAAAAACAGAAAGTGAAAGACATCTTACCCAAGTAAAAGCAAGTTACCTGAGTAAAAGTAACAACAGTAGTCAAAAGAGATATCATTGCAAAGATTCTCTCAGAAATTCTTACGCCTATATAAGGGTTTCACACATCCTTAGCAGAACAAGCTTGGTTCAAGCAAAGTTCTTTAGCCAACCTATACACTCTCTCTCAATGTATCTTAGTCTTCATATGATGCATACAAAGATGTTCTTTCCATTCATTCAGTAACCTATCCATTATCTGTAAGTTATTTTCACTAGTTATTTTGTAAATTTTGAATTAAATCAATAGCAAACATTTCCATTTCAATTTATTATATGTGCTTTTGAGTTATGTCTTCTTTTTGGCTTCTGCGCGCGCACACACACACACACACACACATATATATATATATATATAATTTTTTATATATAATTTATTTAGTCTATACTCAATTTATTTGTAATCATGCGTAATAGGATTCGTGTAATGTTTAAGTTGTTAATAAACATAATTCTTGTCAACCCATTTATTAGACAGGCCTAACAGATCTACCAATTTACTTCCTGAACCTGATAAAACCAAACTTGGATTCGCTAAAAGTGTGTCGCAAAGCCTTTCGTCGCAAATTTAATTGTCCAAATCAGATTTTCATTTGCTTTTAAAGGAGATATATGTAGTTAGGCCTAACAATTCTAGGCATGTTTCACCAACTTGAAATGAAATTGAAATAAAATTAGTGAGTTCAAGTTTAACTTTGTCATAGTAAATTGGTAGATCCATTTGACTTTTTTAATAAATAGATTGATAAGAATTATGTTTATTAACGGTATAAACATGACACACATCCTATTGCCATGAGTGAATTATCTATGTATGTATGGCCAAGCGTATCTTCACACTTATTTATGATTGACAACCCATTGAACATCGTGATTTAATAGTATGAAAAAAGTTTGGATGAATAGAACAACAGAGGCTCTCGAATTCATGACTTGGAATTAGTAATTAATCTTATTACATCACAATATTAATTAGAAAAATGTACAAAATCATAACTTGGAATTGGGAATCACGTGATTCCATTAGGACAAAACACCCGACCAACTAATTAATTAACCCTATAACTCTTTGAGAGAGAGAGACTAAAGCATTTTGAACGAGACAGTCAACATCTCAAAGAACACAACTCAAAAGTGGTAATTCAAGGAAGTTGTTATTGCTAACATAAAGGAGATCTATGGGGAATGCCTTTTCTTCTACTCATGGTTGCTTCCATGTCCTCTTCTCCAACTTTGTTAGCTGATTTCGAACACACATACAATCCACTTCTCTTCTTCCTAACAAACTCAGTGCATGCCCAGCTCATGTTCTCCGACCCTGACGAGCCGGAAGACGAGCNGCACACACACACACACACACACATATATATATATATATATAATTTTTTATATATAATTTATTTAGTCTATACTCAATTTATTTGTAATCATGCGTAATAGGATTCGTGTAATGTTTAAGTTGTTAATAAACATAATTCTTGTCAACCCATTTATTAGACAGGCCTAACAGATCTACCAATTTACTTCCTGAACCTGATAAAACCAAACTTGGATTCGCTAAAAGTGTGTCGCAAAGCCTTTCGTCGCAAATTTAATTGTCCAAATCAGATTTTCATTTGCTTTTAAAGGAGATATATGTAGTTAGGCCTAACAATTCTAGGCATGTTTCACCAACTTGAAATGAAATTGAAATAAAATTAGTGAGTTCAAGTTTAACTTTGTCATAGTAAATTGGTAGATCCATTTGACTTTTTTAATAAATAGATTGATAAGAATTATGTTTATTAACGGTATAAACATGACACACATCCTATTGCCATGAGTGAATTATCTATGTATGTATGGCCAAGCGTATCTTCACACTTATTTATGATTGACAACCCATTGAACATCGTGATTTAATAGTATGAAAAAAGTTTGGATGAATAGAACAACAGAGGCTCTCGAATTCATGACTTGGAATTAGTAATTAATCTTATTACATCACAATATTAATTAGAAAAATGTACAAAATCATAACTTGGAATTGGGAATCACGTGATTCCATTAGGACAAAACACCCGACCAACTAATTAATTAACCCTATAACTCTTTGAGAGAGAGAGACTAAAGCATTTTGAACGAGACAGTCAACATCTCAAAGAACACAACTCAAAAGTGGTAATTCAAGGAAGTTGTTATTGCTAACATAAAGGAGATCTATGGGGAATGCCTTTTCTTCTACTCATGGTTGCTTCCATGTCCTCTTCTCCAACTTTGTTAGCTGATTTCGAACACACATACAATCCACTTCTCTTCTTCCTAACAAACTCAGTGCATGCCCAGCTCATGTTCTCCGACCCTGACGAGCCGGAAGACGAGCTCACCCGCTCATCGCAGTCCACGATCGTTGAATGAGGTGTCTCATTGGTCAATTCATCGTCACCCATGTCTTGAGGGATGAAGAAGTCAGGACTTAGTTGTAAAGAATTGCATGACCTTAAGAAAGGAGACAGGCTCTTACAGTGTTTGAGCACGAAGTCCACCTAATAATCAAAATTACAAGAAGCAACAAAGCCATTTCAGAGCACGTATAAAAATTATGCTTATTAATAACTAAAGTGTAATGAAACAATTGAGTTAATCTATGTTGTATTTACTTCTGGTTTGATGAATGACAAGGCTCTAGTTATGTCATAGAATCGTCTCAACCATGTATTCTTTGGACTTATAGTTATAACGTAAACCACATATGTAATCACACTCGCAAACTATGCACCCTGGTTAAGCTGATAGTTTATGCAACCAGAAAAACTTGAACTCCAGATGCGTGAATTTACATCTCATTCTTTGTTCGATCAACCAATATTATTAGAAAGTAACATGGAGGGAGAAAATTCACGAGTGGGAATTACCTTGCACCCTAGAGAGCAATGGATAAAAGGCTCTTGAAGGCTTCTGGCGCAAGAAGTACAATAGTTTCCAGACCCTTTGAATTGCCTGTTTTGAGGTCGCTTCTTGATAAAAACAGCTTTGGCACCATTAATGGTATAGGCCTGCTAGAACTATGATCAAAATCAGCAACTAATAAACAGAATTGTGCTATAAGAAGATTTCAAGATGATGAATTAGGGGTTTTTTTTTTCAAGATATAACCTGAACGTTCGAGCAGTCTATAAGCTTTTCAAGGTCTTCCAATCGGACAACATCATGGTACACATAACGACGAATTTGAACAAGCCTATGGAAGCGATGATAAGGTACACAATGGGGGCAAATGCTTGTGCAACAATCCAAACAACAAACATTTTTCTCATTCTTCTTTGCAGTTTCATGAATAGAACATGGCATGAAGAACTTCTCCCTGTAGAGGGCTTCCAACCATGTTGGCTTCTGAATTCCCTACACATTGGCACTATCCGTTTGTGAAAACCTGAACCCTAAATTTAGATAAGAATTGTGTGTGTGTGTGTGTGAGTGAGAGAGAGAGAGAGAGAAGACGTACCATGATCACATAAACAGTTGAAGAGAGAGTTCTACCTTGAGGTGTAATTGGGACAGTGGTGTAACAAATGAAAGAGAGGGATAAGTGCAAAGAGGTAAATGTATTTATGGAAGGTCACAAGAGAAAAGAGCATATATTTATTCCTTGGGTACATACACAACATTTTGTCAAAGAGGGACTTGTTTTATATCACGAGAGGAGAGAGAGAGAGAGAGAGAGAGAGAACGTGGGCGCTGTTCCCGTGTCTCCCATAACCTACCTCCCACTTTAAACTATTCTTGTCATCTTCTTGGCTCAAGAGCTCTAACCCTAAACTAATTAAGCTCTTCTTGAAGGAGCTGCCATGGTAAGTTTTCTTATCCTCAATTCCCTTTTCTTATTTCCAGTCTCTTGGTGAAACAGTGTGGAGCTAGCTAGCCTCTTGTCTTGGACCACGAAACGAAGGAAAGAAATATTTGTTTCAATACATATTCATATATATAGTTATATACGTACACATATCGACATGAATGCATGAACTGAAAATTGGTGATTGTTCTCCATCTAATTGTTTGACCAGTGCATCCACTCAGTAATTGTAGCATGCAACTGAGTATACTACAGCATCAAGGGGTAAGACTATACATATCCTCTTTTATATCCTACAATATCGCGAGTTTCGTACATAAGTTGTTGTATATACTAATTTATCTAGTTAAAGTATAGCAGGACACTCGGTCAAAGCGATAATCACCACCCTTGAAACTCAAACCCTACCTTTTTTCTCGAGTTTTTTTCTCATGTACAATGTTGTTGGGTCCTAATAATCTGACCAAATAAATTGGGTTAATAATGTGATGGTCAATATGACCCACCAGTATTATTATTATTATTATTATTATAACTATAATTGCTAATTTTTTTTTTTATTGAGAAGACATCATCTACCATAATTAGCTAGTCAGAATATTGTGTTAGACCAATACGTGGAACAATCTTCTCCTCTCCTCTACTAAAATTTATCATTTTATGTCGGATAATGTTAATTTGATAAAAAAAAATATGACCAAAGTAAGGAAATTAATGATTAGGTGCTTTTGGTGTTATTTTTACTCGATTAAATTCAAAATTTATCTGTACCACATCATTTTATCTATTTTTATTTTTAGTTAGTCTAGTATTATCTTTTTATGTCACTTTTGTTCTCTATTATGTGGGAGCAAACTCCATGCACTTAATAGTTTTTCTCATAATTGAAGTGTATTTGGTCATATTACCTTGGCCTGATAAAATGATAAAGCAAAAACGTGTATCAAGGAAAGCCGGTTTCTAGGCAACCAAACATGGCAGCATTCAGGAACAACTCCACTAAGGAAAAACAGTGCTTAAATAATAATTGAGGTTTTGTTAGAAACATTCATAGACAAAACACAACTCATTAAGCACTAGTTAGGACAAATTAATCATATTATATACTAGAGTAATGCAGCTAATGTTAGACTAACCAAAAAAAAATCTAAAAATATAGAGGAAACGATGTGACATTATCATAACGGTATTGTTAATCTCACTTTTACACATTAAAAATATAAAATTTTTCATTATGATAATGTCACATTATTTGGTTTATGTTTTTTAGTTTCTTTTTTAGTCAATCTAGCATTGCTCCTTTTGAGTTACTAATCTCTTATTCTTGGCTCAAAAAAAAATCTCTGATTGATAATTACTCCGTATAAGTTGCTAATTTTGATGTCACATTCATTTATCGTTATATTATAGTTGAGTTCATTTTGTACTAAATTCCTATCGCCTATAGTGGGACCTATTCTACACAAGTTCATGTCGACTAATTTATGAAATGGGTCTTGAAAAGTCCAGTTAATTATAACCTGAATATATCCCTTAAAACATAAACTTCTTGAGAATTTTATCCTGCTTTAGCAGATTCTGGTTGGAATTAAAAGCCCTAGATAACAATCATCCTGGACAAGGGCGGAGGCAGCCCTGTTCCAGAATGGGCAACTCCCCCCTCCCCCTAAAAAAAAAATTTTTTTTTTTTTATAATTTAGGTATTTATATTGTTTATTTATATAATATATTATTTGTACCCACCTAAAATCAAAGACAAAAATATTAATGTACACTTATATCAAATGAATAATTTTAATTATATCCTCATTATTTTTTTTGGCACATCAATTAGTGTATATTTATATCAAATGAATATAAATTTTTTGACACATTTTGGGTTGGTTATGTACCTATCTAAATAAATTTTGAATATACTAGAATTATTTTATATTTTTTAAGAATAAACAAGACATGATATATATATATTCGATAGTTTATTTGTGATTTTGACATTTATTTTTGCTAATTATGGTAAAACTTATAGAGTGCACATTAAACTGCATAATCGATCAAATGATTTATAAATACCAAAGTGATAACATGATTATGTATCTAAAGAATAATAATGTTGTTATGAAATGTTTTAAAAGTACAAAAATTTACCGAATTTAATTCTAAATGATTTTAATTACTTAATATTTTGTAAAAAAAATATATTATCGTTTCTATACACTAGGCTTACCAAATTTCGCTATGGTGGGTTTAATGAACTTTTAAGTATTAAATAGAATGTAATTAAATAAATTATTGTCCTATTTCTATCAATTATAAAAAAAAAAAAAAATTTGTTGAAATATACAATTTTTTGACTCCACCCTGATCCTGTATGATATGTCCTGAGGCTGACAAAATCTATGTCCACAGTAATCATTAGATCTTTTCCATAAGCGGTATTAGTATCAATTAGCACATGCTTTTGTGATATGGACACAAAAGAATATGACTGCGAATTTTTGAGGATATATTTTGTGTCCTTTATTTTAAAGATCTACCCAGTAATGTTATGTTCAACGATGAGTGCGAATCATCATTTTTGCATTAAAAGGATAAAGCGTAGAGTTTGAATAATGTCAATCGATTTGATGATACATACCACTGATAATGTGTAGTAATTAATTTGTCGGGTTGGTGTCGTATCAAAAAAATTTCAATTCATGTATACGAAATTCTTTTATTTGTGTATAGTGAAATTAATGATATGTCGATTTTGTGCTATGTATAACTCGTATATTAATATGTACTGTGATATTCATATCATAAATAGTTGAATATATATTGACATATAATTAATGAGTTTTAGTATCATCTTGATTATGTTCTAAACTTGTTATGATTAAACCACATTTATTGAAAGGTTGTGTTAAAAATTGTACAGCAAGAAATTTGATATACCCAATAACAATCCTATGGTCACCATCTCCCATTTTCATAAATCAAGAAAACTGCTAGGTGTGCACACCCTAATAATCTATTCAAAGTGAAGTTGTACCTAGACTTGGACAAACCATAGACATGAACATCAGAAGTTTAATTCTTGCTAGTGATTACAGATATTCGAGATTTACTCTCTCATGAATGAGTTCAAAGTGATCCCGTCTTACAAGACTTCCTCGTAAAAAAAAAAATTATATTCAAACTTATATGCAAGGAACTAAGAAAAAAGAAAAATGCAGCCAACCGACTAAGTGGGTTTCAATGAAGACAAGAATAATGTTAATGTCATTGAAAGAGGTGAAACCTCACGTGCAAGGGAGCCAAGTGAACTAAGTGATGTCAAGGTCCAAGGTCTACAAAAACATAATTTCTTGGTATTATATATATATCTTTTTATTTAATAAAATTATTTAATGTATAAAATTTTTTTTATTGTAGTATTTTATATTAATTTATTATTTTTATGATTAATGTCCATATATCAATTCAAACTAAAATTAGTGACTATGGACCAATTTCGATATGATGCCAAAATTTTGTGTTTCGATATGTAGTCATCTCCTTTTGTCGAAAGCTTAGTGTGGGTGTTTTGCTGGCAGGTCGGATCTAATTTTAGTCCCAATTTGATCTAAATTTAATGTTGACTAGTTCAATATAAATTGATAATTTTAACTAATTATATAAATTTAAAAAGTAGTTATATTTTATTTTAATAGTACTAATTTGGATACATCAATATCTAACTAAATTATGGTCTAATTCAAATCATATGTGTATAATGTATTCAATGTTGAAGTCAAGTGATCATTTGTGAAAATTGAGTTAAAATTGGCATGTAAGCTGTTAACATATAAATTAAATTAAAATTTAGATATAATTTGTTAAAAAATACTTAATTGATTTGTTTGAATCAAATGTTTGACTAAAAGTCTGCTTTTAATGGATTTAAATATTGATTGTGAGAAAAAATTGGGTCGATTATGCAAATCAATTTTTTTAATTGAATTTGAATTTGAATTCAAATTAAATAAAATTTTATGCAAATCTAAACCGTTAACACTCTTATTTATTGGGGGCGGGTGTGCCTGAATAAAATTTTACTGGTCGAAATTTAGGACTCAATTAAAATAAATGGTAGTCCAAAATAAGCCCTTTTTAAGTGTTCAAGTAAAGTGGTAGAATCTTAATTGCCCGATTCTCATCCGTAGTTGTTATAGACAAAGAATTTTAAAACCGAAATTAAGAGAATTTGGTTCGTTAATTAGTCACTAATACACAATATTAATTAGCTTTGTTAATTTGGTCAATGGTCAAAGGATCAAGAAGTGCACGAGGCGGTGTCAGGAAGAAAAGGGAAAGAACAAACGGAATGGATCTGCGTGTGAGCCGCACGAGGGGAGATCTCTCTCTCTCTCTCTCTGGTGGGGGGTATGCCCAGAAGCTGAAAGAGTCTCTGACACAGGACAGGACCACTTTGTTCTGTTCAAAGTACTATTTTTACTTGGCTCTGCCACTTCCACATGCGCTCATTACCGAAAATTTCACTGACTAAATACTGGTACATAATTTGATGGAGTTGTATCGAGTACCCAACAAAAAAACAAAATTCGGTACTGTACTAATATTGATCACATTTATAAATATTTTTATTATTATTATAGATATTTTTATATCTATTT